ATAATTAGTATTATATGGTGAACAAGGATAAATAAAATTATTATTTTCTCTTATATCAAGGAATAAACATATATACTAGAACCAAATTTATATTAGTCTAATTACAAGCTAGCCCTAATATATGCGCATATTTAACGTTATGGCTAAAAAATAACGCTAATTAAAAGAGATGGAAAATATATTATTACCGTATTGTTTTTTAGAATTAACACTGATTAAAAAAGAAAAAAAATAGATGATAACTTACTCTATTTCTTACCGTATTGTATCGTGCATCCACCAAATACGTTCTAGTATTTATATCACAACAAAAAAGTGCACCAACGCGACTTCCCCTTTATGGAGTAGCGACTCTAACAACGTAGTAGACATGGCCACGGGCCGAACCGGCCCGTGGCCCGACCCGCGAACTGGTACCAACCCGGCCTGAACCGGCTCGAACCGGCTTCTTAAGGGTCGATTCGTTGAACCGGGACCCTTAGGATTTGGTCCCAATTCAACACTCTTTGTTTTTTACCTGGCGGACCGGGTCGGGTCGCGGGTCACTTTGCTTTTTTTATTTTATTTTTAAAGGTCGTACTGGCCTGAAGCCGTCCAAGACCCGCGGGGCCGGTTCGTAGAACCGACCCATAGATTTTTTCGGGCCGGTTACGGGTCATAATGTTGAGGCTCCGCCGACCTGGCGGGTCAGGTCGGGCCGGACAACGTAGGAAGAAAGTACGTCTCTGCTGCGACCAACAATCACTTTCACAGTCTCACGACGTCGTTTTGGTCGTCTCCATTATCAGAGATGCACATCACAATCGATCTATCTACAGACAAAAGTTTGTCGGAAGAAAAAAAGGCAAAGGAGAGAAGAGATGGAAGAAATTTCAGAGGAGCGCGGGAAATCCATGGCAGCTCCAGCGATTTTCGTCCTCGTATTCTTCATTAAGCACTCTCGTATTCGATTGCTTGTTTCAGGCCATCAACATTTGCGCAAGCTGCAAAACTTAGAAGAATGGCAGCTTCGAAGGAGAAGGAGCTTGCGGAATGTGCGCTATTTTCTTTATCTGATTACCGGGCAGTCGTTTTTTTCTTTTTTTTTTGTTTAAATCTTGGTGGCTGATTAGTAAATACAAATCCCATGGCAATGGATTTTGCAGTGCTCATGTGGTTGCAAGCTCTAATCTTTACCATTCATTTCTTTGTTTTTGTTATTTTTTACTAGATAGTTTAATGTCTATCTATACTATGATCTTATATCCGTATTTTGGTAATTATTCATGTTTTGTTAATCATTACGTGCTTGAGTGTCTAAGTCATTGTTGTGCCATGCAGATCAAGAAATGCGTGAAAAAGGATATGAATATGTCCTTTAGTACATACGAAAAGCTCTTACTAATATCAAAGGTTATTCGTTTAAGTCACTTGTGTGTTTGTTCAAATTTCATGGTTTATTAACTATTAAAAATCTTTTGAGCCTATATGGCTGTTTTTGCACAGGTTGTTACGTATGTTTTGCTTGTTTTATGGTTCTGGAAGATGCCTGTGACCACAATATCCGATCAACTTGTGCAACCTTTTGGTAATAGTTGATTTTTCTCCTTACATTTTTTATTACTATCAAATTCAAGTGTAGCGTAGATAAAAATTTTATCGGTGAAAAGGGGCTTCGAATATATAGAATATTTATTTTTGCAGGCAAGTTGATATCTTGGAGAGCAGGAAGATCTTTGGAAGACGATCTTGCGGTAATGTAGCTGAAATCTGTGGGTCATTTTCTTAGCTTGATTTTCTATTTGGATTTTAGAATGAAATTGTCGTGCATTTTCTTGTAGTCTGTGTTAAGACCCTCTGATCTATGATCCTAGTCATGACATGGCACCTAAATCGAAAGCAAATCGAAGGGACGAAAAAAAAAATAAACACTTAGCTTTAAAATTTCAGGTATTCCTGATATTTGTTTTATCTTACAAAAGTAAATTTGCCTGGACCGTGATTTTTACTAAATTTCACGAGTTCATTGGCGCGTGACTTGCCTGGACCGTGATTTTTACTAATGAGATTTTGTAATCGTTCGTCATATGCCTCTCCAGGTAGGAGTCATACCATGGTTGATAGTATCCACTAGGGTTAGCAAATTCATCTGCAGGAAGGTTTTGGATTCCAAATGAAGCTTTAGCAAATTGATATGCTGGAAGGTTTTTAACTAAGTTGAAAGCTCAACAGAGACAGAGGAAGATATAGTTACCGGCTTACGTTTTCTGATTAGTCGAAGTATTGAAGATCATCGTATTTATTTGATTTATTTGTACTATGTACACCGATAATGTTGGATACTATACTACAGAAGTTCGGGCTACAATTTGTTTCCAGATATTAAATGATTAGTTTGCATTTATAATTTGTTTTAGAAAATTGTCAAAGATGTAAGAAATAGAGAACAAGAATTTAAAAAATGCAAAATTAACGAAGCTATCGTGCAGAAGTTTAAAAGGAAATATATAAACTCTTGGCTGATGGGTTTATTCTAAACTCAATCGTCATGCATAGTGCTGTTAACTGAGCCTAGACCTAAGAGCTCGGCTCGTTTAGGCTCAAGCTTGATTAGTTAACTAGTTAAACCGAGCTTAGCTCATTAGGCATTTAGGCAGGATTTTTTTTTTTGGTGTTTGTGTGTGTGTGTGTGTGTGTGTGTAATTTTTTACATTTTTAGCACAAGGATCTTTCTTTTCTGCACAGTTTATATACAAATTGAACTGTTATTTTATAATAGTTAATATAATTATTATTATTTTTATTTGTGTGCGTAATGTGATGTTAAATGAAAATTTGTCAAAATACTAAGTTGAGAAATTATATAAGTAAATTAAATAATATATAAAAGAAATGATTAAAATCTATTTATAATTTAATTTTTGTATAAACTTTAAAACTCCTAACAGCCATAAATTAAAATATAAACCTACATAAATTATTGTGAAACACAATATATATTTAAAATTATGGAGCATTAATTAAAAATTATGCTTACATAAATTAATAAGAAACACCAAAAATTTGTGAATAGAATTATAAAAATACATCACAAATTGTGGAATTCCACATTGAAGGAGGAATATTATTATTTTGTAAATATATAATAATAATCGACACGTCACGCCTTCAGATACCGTTTTGGGTTCGTAACTGGCTTCCTTGTCGACCTCCCGTGCACCTCACCGCAGGCAATTCCATCTCTCCCTTTTGTGCTTGCCTATATATAACTGTAGAAAGGAATTGGAGAAGACGAAGAAGCACACACTAGAATTCTAGAGTTCTCTGTTCAACTGTTCCCATGGCGTACATCGACAGAGGTAAAATTTGCTTTACTTCTTTTATTATTATTATTATTTTTTTTTTCAATAATTTTTTGCACACTGTTAGTTTATCGGAGTTGATTTTATTTCGATTTTCGAATGGCCCTTCGAATTTTTGAAAATTTTCACAATTTCTGAAGCTTCGTTAGCTTTTTGTTCCCAATAGTTTGGAGCAGAGGAATTTGTGATGTTGATCGGAGAAATTACAGTTGTTTGTATGTCTAAATCGATTTGAATGTTCTAAGCTGTAGCAGATTTGTACGGATTATGAAAAATCGTTTGCATTAATAGGGTATTAGGGTTTGGATTTGAGAATTTTGATCGGAACCAAATCTGTGATATCAGTTCATTGTCGAGCTGAGCATCTAAATCCTTGAACTCTGAAAACCAGTCGAGAGCCTTACTTCAGAGTTGTGATTTTTCAAGCTGAACTGAATTTGATGTTTGATACTGTTTTAAGTTACTTGTAAAACTAGTCTGGGACGATGAACACCTAAGTAATAATAATAGACGAACACTATATAGCGCGCATTATACCTCTATCCATGAAAACATTGCCCGGTGATCACAAACAATAGCTTGATATGATCCATATTACTGTATTAGCAACACATAATATGTAGAGGATTTATTGCTGCTGTTGATTTTTGAGAATGTACCTGTTTGAGTACAGATTTTACTTTATTTGAGTACAGATTTTATGTTTAAGTGATATTTTAGTTTTTTTTAATTCGGTGAAAGTTTACTGGTTGGCTTTTGCCTGTTAGAGTCTCGGATTATATTTAGCTTAACTGCATTGGTGGAGTAAATAGGACAAAAACTAGTATGTTCTGATGTATATTTTTCTGTGAAAACTGCATGATTGTTACTTACTATATCATCCTCTGTTTGTATACACATTCTCAGGGGTTGTCAAGTCTAAGAAATCATTTTGGCGACTAAGCACAATCACGGATTTCTTCTGGGCCGCTGTGATTTTTGTAATGGATTTTTTCGGAACACTGTTTTCGGTAAAATCTTTAGTTCTAATAACCTTCTGCAGTTAGTTCTAGTCAGGTCTTTAGTTCTATTATACTCGCTCATTTTTTTTTTCCCTTGGGTTCCTTTTTTGCAGCTGGATAAATCTGATGCTTACCGTAAAGGATTGGGCCGAAGCAAGAAGTGGGATGGTGGTTACCCGGGAGGTCCCGGAGGAGGCCCAAATGGTGGGGGCCCACGAAGGGCACCGCGCGGAATGAACAATATCCGGGGAATTGATCATGGTAAGTTGTTTATTCGTTTTTGTTTGCCTTCATTGTAATAATCTTTTATCGATCTTCGTTTTTCGTAATTTTTGGTTCTAACTCTGTTACTTTCTGACGTATTATTTTTTTTTTTTCGACTTGTAACCTTTCAGACGCTACTCCTGTATGTGGTTCGTGCTGCGGAGGCTGATAAGGTAGCAGACTCCTCAAATCACTACTTCTGGATTGCTTATGCGCAAAAAAAAAAAAAAAAAAGAAAGAAAGAAAGAAAGAAAGAAACAATGTATAGATGATTTTATTCTACAACTTGATGTCAGTTTTTAGTACATGTCCATTTTTGGTGTCTATAATTGTGGATTGAAACACTTTCGTTTTGTGTTTTGCTGTTTTTTTTCTCGGAATATCATTAGTGTGCACATAGCCAACAAAAACACATCGACGACTCTGACTTGCAAACTTGTCACCGTCCGCCAACACTTGAATGTGTTAGTATAGTATATGACGAAACCGTGTGATAATTCTGAAAATTTTCAATCAAATATGCATTTCTTGCTAGAGGTTCACAGGGTTTAGGGGATGTTTGTTTATGAAAATTTTTGGAGTTTGTGAGATTTTTTGGTTTGGTTTGATTATCACTACGCCAAAAAAAGCTTCAGATAGCGCTTTTCTTCTGCTACAGATAACGGTTTTAAGCGTTATCGGAGTCAGTGTTATCTGAAGACCGGTCTCTTCAGATAACGCTTTTTAAGCGTTATGTGAAGCAACTGTCACATAACGCTTTGTATATTAAGTGTTATGTGAAGAACCTTTCACATAACACTTTTTATACTAAGCGTTATGTGAAAAGTTCTTCACATAACACTTGTTTATATTAAGCGTTATCTACAATATAATCAAATAACATTTTTTAACAAAAGTGCTATCTGAGATGATGATAATATATAACATTTTTTTAAACAAGCGTTATCTATGTTTTTTTTTTCTTTTTTTTTTTTGCCTGTATTCATTAATCCATGTACCAATAAACAAGAACCAAATAACTTAAATAATAAACCCCATGTACCAAGAAGCAAGAACCAACAAAAAACAACACAAACATAAATTAACAAAAACTTACTAACACAATCCACCAATTTTAACATTGTACTCGTGTATGTACAAGAGAATAATGTAGCACAAAATCATGAAAGAATGGTATCCCTAATTCCAATAAATCAAGAAAAAAGACTGATATTCCTAGTAAAATAATAGCCCACCATTAGCCAATGGAGTTACAGTTTTGATGGCATCCTCCTGCATCACACAAGTTATATACATATACTAATATCAAGTTTAAATCATTTAATCACATCTTATAAACAATATATAAAAAACAATGTAAATAGGAGTACAACAAAATACATACCTGTTAAGTACGAAAAGAATGCGCATGTATCTGCCAAAATTAACAATATGAAAAGAAAGAACTCAATAATTATATATTAATTGTATTTCGTAATAGATTAGAAATTGAACATAATAACCATAACAATAAACGAATCGACACTAAATATAACAAGGAAAGTACTACTACCTATAACATTATTAATTACAGTTTAACCAAAATACAAAAAAAATTAGTGGGTAATGAAATGACAAAAAAAGTGAGTTTAAATTCAATTACCTCTGAGATTATCATTTCATCACAAATAATTATGTCTTTAATAAACTTCAAACAGCAGTACCCACAATCCACAACGTTAGCTTGTTGGGGACACTAAAAGAAACAAATATTAGTTAGTATGTATAGATATAAATCAACATCTACCGCAAATAACATCTTGAAGTACCTTAACCTTTTTTTTCATCTTAAGCTCTTTGATCTATTTCTGGATCGGAGATCATCATCCCAACTTGAGTCCAAAAAACTCGTAATGCGCTAGTAAAATAAAAAGACAATGGAGTTACAGGAAAAAACAACAAAAGGCAAATGCACCGTAACAATCACATATACTTACGTGTTAAACACATCTGTTGAACAAATTTAATAAATTCTTTCACACCGTCCTTCTCATATTCTTTTAACAATCGACTGAAAGACATCCAATTTTCACCATAGCTTCTTGACCTAATAAACTATTAGGGAGAGTTATTCTGGTAAGTGAGAAATTAACATTAATCACAAAATGGAACAAGAAAAACTTATAGTTCCTACAGATGATAACCTCATTGGTATAAGTTTGCATATATACTTGCCAAAATAAATATATCCACCTATATTTATCGATATAGAACAAAAAGAGAAAAGTGAATTACCTCTTCTGTCAATGAGACGAAACTTTTTCGATGCTTGTTGAACCACAGTGAATAAAAAGTTGATTATTGGCACTCCGGATTAAAATAATAGTCACAATTAAAAAAATGTAGAAGTTAAATATTCGACTTTCAAGTATAAGGGAAAATTATAAGAGCTAAAACTGTCATGAGGAGAAGAAAAAGAAGAGGAAGAAAAATTGGATTGTAATGTTTTCGTTTCTTACATATGCAATGAACATAAAAATTTAATATATAATAAATATAAGACTGGTTCATGTTGTTATAAAAATTCATAGTATAGTATAGCAAAGTTGAAGTACAAGAAAGAATAAGCAGACAAATCAAACCGTTTAAGGTGCAGTAGGGAATATGGAAACGTTTAAGGTGCTACTCATACCGTACGATCAAAATGAACTGGAGTAATGGCTTTATGCCAACATCTAAAGAAAAGTGACTTCCGAGTACATGTAACAGTATACCATTTATGAGAATAAATTTTGGGCTGCACGACACGAGATAAGATAATAAAAAAAAAACACTATACTTTATTTGTGAGTTTGTGCAAGAATGTGGAATATTATACATCATTTGAATATAATGTAATTTGGACATGCCCGAGATGTCCTTTGTCATTAGATACCAAGTACTTTGCAAGAATCCACATCAGCAGCAAAATCTCCCAATAAAAAATCACACATTCTTCAAGCTAACATTAAAGGATATATATAAGATACATATGCACATAAATAAAAAAGAGTGAATTGTCACACATGTTTAACTGGCAACAGATATCATGACTTGATCAAACAAACCAATTTTGCATCAACAAATATTGGTAGTAGCAAAACAATATCTTAGAGATTAATTATGCGATACACGAACATTTTTCGTAACAGAAAGATAGTAACTCGTAAGAACCACATATATCATGTACACAACAAGAGTAGCCATCGAATTCACTCAAGATTCCTCCAGAAATATCAAATTACATATAAAAAATATCGTTCAGGAAGCTAGAAAATATAAAATTACAGATAGCAAGAGAAGGCGGTACAACCGCCACACACCAAAACAATGTTCACCAGGAATATACACCAAGGGTCTTTTCTAACAAATCTTCTGACTCTTGACTAATTGCACCAGGCGCTTTTAGAATAATTAAAATCACATACATTTTGAACATAAACTAGCAGGTCAGGTAATATACATATCTGGTTATGAATTCCCAAACGAATTAAAAATCCAACCTTTCTAATTAAGCCCCTCATAAAATTTATGAATACTCAAACAACTTTGAGCAATAGAATTCATGGCGAAGCAGCATGACTCTCTTATTAAATTAGCAAATAAGGGCAGCCACCTTCCTTGTGTTCAGAAATTTCGAGCATCTGATGTATTATATAAGCGTAGCTGTGGGAACATCCAAGATTTTTTTTGAATGATACACCAATCTCAACCAGTACTCCACAATATGTGAAAACAGAATCAGTGGACGTTCAGCTTTAAGCGGGTATTTGTCTACAAGGAAAATCAAAATTACTAAAACCATGTATTGTGAAGGTATCGTTCTTACCCTTGACATTGCGGATACACTAAGTAGTGCATACACAAATTAAAAATCCAATCTTTCTAATTAAGCCCCTCATAAAAATTATGAAAAAATCGAACAACTCTGAGCAATCGAATTTCATGCAAAAAGCTTTAAACATCGACACTCCATGGATTAATTCGATTACCTGCTCGACTGAAGAGATACAAGCAGTTCGTTGGTCTCCTCCTTCAGCTCGATTGACGATGAAGTTCTCCAGGAATTGTTCTTATTGCAATCGATTGAGGATGAAATTCTCCAGGAACCGCCGATAAATTGGGTTGATTGAGGATGAAGTTCTCCAGGCACGCTGAGAAATAGGGTTTTCTCTTCTTGTTCTTCGTCCAGTGGTACAGAACTTGTTCGTGCGATTTTTTTTTTTTTATTCTTGATATTTATTATAAAATTGGAGGGGGTACATTGCTTAAATGTTGTAATTCATATAACACTTTTCAAAGGAGTGTTATAATATGAATAAGTGTTATAACTTATATAGCATTTTTAAAAGAAGTGTTATGTATTGATACTCTTCTTATAACGCTTGTTAAATTAAGTGTTATCTAAAGATTATGTGTTTTTTACATAACACATATTTAAAAAAGCGTTATGTAAAAGTTGTATGGTTAGTTGTTAGTGGGTACATTAAAATAATATTTAAAATAAAATAATTAAAATTAATTTTATGTAAAAGTAGGAGAGATGATTTGATGTGATGGTTAGTTAAAATAATGTGAGTGGATGAATAGTGAATTAAGGTTGATGTGGTGTATATGAATGATTGATTGATATTATTTAATTATATTAATAATATTAATAATAGTGGGGTAGAATTAAAGTTGAGTTTAAAAAAGTGGTTGAGTTAAAATGTGAGAAATTTTTTGAAAAAATTTCATATGCAAACATGCTCTTAATCTTCTGGGAATGGGTAGGTGAAGATAAAACTTTCTATTCCAGAATAAGTTTGTCCCTTTCCTTTTCCATCACTTTTTTTTTAACTCCCATGAGTCTTGTATGATCCATCACAAACAATTGCATGACCATAGTTAGACTGTTAAGTTGTTCTCGTGTAAGCCTATAAGTCATATTAATCTAACAAAAATCACATTTTAAGATACAATATAAACAAAAGTATGATATTTAATAGTATAAGTATGCACTTTTTGTATGAAAAAACACACACAAGACACAAAAAAAAAGAACATATATTTGTTTGTAAATGAACCAACTCAAATCAATACATAACTCAATTTTAAGTCAATTTCATTATCCTTGATATTAATATAATTAAATAGCCTCAATAAATCATT